TAAGTGTGGTTGCCGTAAAACCTGGATGTTAGGAGTGCAATTTCCCATAGAGTCACTCTTGAGCACCACTGAAGAAGTCCCAACCTAAAATAAAACAGATACCTCTATTTCAGTGATTTTTCGATAGGTATTAGCCCGTGATGAAAATCATCTACAAACTAGACAAAACTCCATAAAATACACAACTATACAATTTTTGGTGTTAAAAAGACAAAGATGACAAGAAATGAATTTAAACACATGATCTACTGGTCGAAATAGTAGTTGACGGTAGTTGTCAGGAAATCCTGGACGTAGGTTTTGTGCTGTATGGCACTCATTAGCGAGGTTACTTGTAATCCCTGACGGATTCGATATCGTGTCAACCAGTTTCACGGGTAAGTCAACTTAACAAGTTGAAGCTTGAGTTATTTTCATGTTGAATTTACTCCTTTTAATTATAAACTCTCTCTCTCTCTTTTCTTCTATTCACACAGCAATTGTCCTTAGCTAAAGAGAATGAAATATTAACGAAAGAGAGACTTTGTTCTGGTTTAACACTATTCGAATTTGTAAGTTATGATTCTTCTAATCGTAACAACAGAGATGATTTTCATACATAATTTCCGTCTGTATAATGAATTGTTTGTCATTGAATGCTTCAATTTATAAAACATATTTCAATGGATGGCTGTGTAGTATAGAACATACAAGCATAGTTTACCGAAATCTATAGTGTACGTAGTTGCTTTGCCCCTTGGGCTACTTAATAACTAATTAGGACTTGTGTAAAACAGTCACATATTTGAGATGTTTGTAGGAGTGCTAAAAATTTATGTACACCAGATGCAATAATTGTACGGAAGTACAGTAGTTGTCTCAGACAGCTACAACGTAGGATCACACATATGCATCAGTCCAAGTTGCCATACCTCATTAGCACAACAAGGTGAACACCAAATGCATAGAAGTAGTTACTTCAATAACAGTAGTTGTCTGCCTTACTTCGATTTCTCTATAGATTGCGAATTCATAATTAGAAATTCACATTTTTTATTGTTTTAATTTCTCCTGATTTTTTTTCATTTTCTACTTCGCGTGAATAGGTCCTTAATAAAATTAAAAACTTTCTTCATGAAGAAGATTCTGATGGAAATACTTGGGATCGTCTTTCCAATATTGCCAAACGTAGTTCTATATGTAATGGAACTACTACACATTATAATAATGATATACTCGGCTTAGAAAGTTATACACACTTTCATCGTCTATGGTCTGCTATTCAATTAGTATTCTGTACACCATTTGGGCAAAATGAATATACAGTTGAAGAAATGTTTGGTGAAGGATTAAATTGGGCTGGATGTGCAATCATTTTGTTATTAGGTCAACAACGTCAATTTGAAGCACTTGATTTTGGTAGTCTTATTTTACGACTACAACGAATCGATAAAAAAGATGCAACACCAATGGGAGTTGTACGTTTTATTATTATTTAAATAATAAGTTATATCTATGAATATGTTATTATATCTGTCCGTTTTAATTTGACATTTTAATTGTTACTCTGGTAAATTATTTCACTGTTTTGATAGTTTAATTACTAAGTAATTTACAGAGGGTAAATTTAGATTGAATCGATTTCAATTTTAGTAAAGACCTTTGAGTGCTTAATGGAGTTTTGTTCTCTTAGCTGGATGGTTTGCTCGTGAAGCTCTCATCGTTTTCCTGAATGACATCATCAGCACAGACTTCAGGTAGAAGTGAAGTGTTGGAGTTTCTCCATATGTGGTTCATAGCTTGTCCTGTAGACCTCGATGTTGATTGGTTCTTATTGACCTTAAGTTTGTCATTGTTTGCTTCTTTGTTTTGATTGTATCTCCCATTGGTTTGGTTTTTGTTCCTATGTTTGTGCATAGTTTTCCTGATTGATTGATAAATTGAATCGATTTCAATGTGCTTGTTGATTGCTGATTGACCTGAGTGCCAAGCTTCTAAAAATTCTCTGTTGTTTTTCGAATTACCTCTATGAGTACTGTTACTTGGTGACTCAGCATACTAGAGTTCATCAGTCGATGTTAAAGTTATTTTATTTATTTCAAATTAATAGTTTCCCTCTCATTTTTTTTACCATTTAGCCTCTGGAACGAATGGCGGCTCGTTTAAGTCGTTTCTCAGTACTCAATCGTCAAATATTTTCCACATTAAATATATATCTTCATCCTGTCGATCGACTGGATGAATCGAGTGTTCGTGTTCGACAGTTTCCTATACCTACCTGGTCCAAATCATAAACCATTATCGTTTTTTAAACCATGTAATTTGTTCCCCTTTCCAATTTTTTTGGTATAACGCTTATTGTACTATAAACCACCTCAATTAATGGCATTTTATAGAGTTCCTTTGGTCTTTTTTTATATTTTGATCATACCGGTAATTTGTTTTGGTTGATTTACTGCTTTCCTGGTGTTTTTTGCTTTCTTATCTGGTTTTTCCACCTCTTTTTCTAGAGAAATATGTATAAATAAATTCATAAGGAAAATAAAGTTAATTTATGGTGTTATATGATTAATGATAATAATGCTTTGTTAGTAAAATTACTTTTATGCGGACCAACATTCTTTTTGTCGTAAAAATCATGTATTCGATGCGACCTTGCTGAAATGATGTATCCATACGCGGAGTTACCTTTAGTCATCTTGAATAAAAAATTAACATAGGTTTAAGTAGAATAACATGAATTCGTTTTATTTAGTTTTTTTCTGACGGCTGCTTACTACCTGTAATATGTAAGAATCATAATCACAAAATTAGTCCAAGTCACAAAAAGGAGTTTGATTGTAACTTGCTTTGAGAATATCTCAGTACTGTATTACAAAGGTGTAGATATATTTCGGTGACCGAGTGGAATAATACCAAACGTCCGAAGAACTTGATTGCAGAAATCACCTAAAACCTAGGAGTGGTTTTGCAATGGACATACGATTAAAACGACTAAAGGTCAGAATGAAATTACTTATCCAGAATAGTCGGAGAACCGTCTGGATTAACGACTATCTCCTAAACATGTCAGCTTTCTGAGATCCGAATCCAGTGGCTTCAAGAACTTCGAGAGGTCGGGGATCACCATGAACGATTTCAGGACATCGGTCAGATGTACTTTGTCAAAGCGTTACTAGGGATTAGGCCGTCCGAAGTGCTCCTATCCTATTTAAGTTCCTTAGCACATGTTCTATAATTCCAGGATATGATCTGCTTTTTTTCTGCTAATGTAGTTGTTTGACAGGCATTTGTGAATTTATAGACATTTTGCAGTAACATGAAGTTGGCACCTGCAGACCCTCAATCAAATTATTAAATTTGTTGTTTTACACAGTTTTGATCTTTAAGAGCGCACCAGTTTTCACGAACCACTAATAAGTCAATGAGGCAGAAACGACCTATTCTTAAACAATGCTGCTTCTCCGAATGGATCCAGTTTACATCGAGCTACTTAAACGGCTCCTTCCAAATAATCTTTTCTAAGATTTTAAAAACCATACTAGTTAGGCTAACGGGGCGGTAATTCTCAGGTTTGTGTTTCGTACCTGTTTTGAAGACAGGACTTACTATGGCATTTTTCCAGCCTTTGGGTAAACGACCCTGTGTTACGGATAGGTTAGAGCATATACTTAAAGGGTTCGCAACGAATTTAAATAATTCCTTCAGTAGCCTAGGATGTAATTCATCGGGCCCCGTGGATTTTCCCATGTCAAGCTTATTTAGTAGACCAAAGACATCGAGTTCTTTAATGGTCACGCTATCCACTGTATGTGTGGGGTAATCTGTATGCGCTGATGGGAAGGGTGCTTCTATGGTATATACACTGCTAAAGTAGTTTGAGAACACGAGTCTTACCAAAGTCGTCCACCACTAATGGTGCGGCAGTACTTTCTCCCCATAGTGCAGGAATATTTCCTCTCCTTTTTGTCCTTTGGTTTAGATAGGAGTACTAGCGCTTGGTATATTTCGGTGCTCAGCTTTCGTCCAATCAGTCTCCAGTGACCTGAATCTATCCCACATTTTTCTCCTCTTACGGAGATGATACGAAACTTCTTACTGAACAATGATTGTGAGTTCCTTGGCCCCCTCGGTATAGTCCAAGGGATTTAGGATGCAGTACTTTTTAAGTATAAATTTCGAAGTACATCCTAAGCTGCTTCATTTGGAGACCCTGACTCTACTGACGCTGTTGAATGTACAATCTCCGTGATATTTGCTTTTCAGACATTAGGTCCAGATTGATCTGACGAGCGCACTTTATTGACAATTATACGAAGTCAAAGTTGGAACTGCATGATGACATTTACGTAGGGGTTGCATGTAATCGAGGTTCATAAAGTCATCGTCGTAATGGGTCAATATAAGATCTAATAAGGATGATTCAAAGTGCGGGTCATACCTAGTCGACTCCTTCACATGTTGCGCAAGGGCATATGAAATAACCCTATCAACTAGTTCGTACTCGAAGGAATTAACTGATGATTCAGATCTCAGACTTTTTCAGTCTATCGTGGGTGCATTAAAGTTTCCTAGGACTAGATATTTACCACTTCGTGACTAAGTATTGAGACAGTTTAGCAAGACCTCACTTACCTCACAGATTGAACTGCGACAGACCAAACCAATCAACAGCTCATGCCTTTGCATTTCAAGCAGCAACTAACTACTTCATCACTTTGGCAAGATACACTATCGATTATGGCAAATACAACAGCATTCCTAATGAATCTAGCTACTTTCCATCATTTAAGCTCCTTGATTCTGTCGACTATTACCAACGTAAAACCCTCAAAATCATGTTCCATACTATCTATCAGATCCCGCGAAAATTCTTTGCTCAGTTTTTACAAATAACAGAAGATATAACTGCACGCGAATTTTTCCGTGGTTTAAATTGAACAATATGGAATGAACGTTATTGTACAATTATTGTTTGTTTTGTTTTATCTTTTGTCGTGTATAATTACAAAACATTCTTCTTGCGCAACAACTTATCGCGACATCAGAGTATCCTTCAGGTATTTTTATTTTAACCTTTTATTCCACTAACGTCCTCGTTTTGAGTGATAAGGAATTTATGATACTTTTATGCAGAGAGATTTTGACACTATTGTTTGTTGTGCTTTCTTACCACTCAGCGATTATCGAGCGAAAAATATGTTACATCGAATCATATGGTTCGATAGAAATTGTCGACCAATCTGACTCCAGAAGTTTGCTATTCTCTATATATTTGTGTTGAACATAGAGTAAGTTCTTTTCTTTCCAAGGCTTAGTAACACCAGGAGTCAGATAGAATTAGTGTTTATAATTGTTCTAATCTTTCGTGTGCTCCAGATATATGCCAATTTTTTTAAACATTATTCGCCTGATTTTGAAAACTCCAACTCAAACTAGGTTCTGTTTAAACCTCAGACAATTTTTTCTCATATTCGTTTCGATTATAATGGCGACATGGTTCGCTCTTAAATATTGTATCTATATATAACTCACAATTACTATTAATATTATAAAATAGCCGGTGCATTTGGTAGGCCCGATTGTTTCATTTATTTTGGGCTCAATGTATGTATACATCTCAAGTTGTTCTATTATACGTAAATAACTTCGCAAATACATGTACATAATCGTGTTTATCACCCTCCCAGAATGATAATTTGTCGTATATAAAGTTTTATGGGTTTCTAAATGTTTTGATTTTTTTCGATGGTCATTGGATCAATAAAACTATTAGTGCCGAGTATTGTGCGTGTTTGAAACTGAATTGTCATGCATTGTTCCGGATATCAGTCATTTACTTATTGATAAATGAATAAATATTTACGTTCTAGATAGCACAATATTAAACAAATCAGGTTTAGGTTCTTTGGTTTTCGAATATGTATAGCTCTAGAGTCTACATTCTGTAAGTGAGACAGAGACAGAGTGAGATAATAATTTGTCAAATGCTTATTGTGTGGGCTGCTAAAGACTAAACTTTCATTATACAATCCCAAGTTACTATTAATAATTCCTCCATGCAGTCGGCAGTGAGGCTTTATGTCGTTACACATCATATTGATCGTCTTAATTAAACAAAAACTTTGTTTCCCCTATACTTAAAAATGATAAATGTCACGTTACAGTGCCGAAATAACTGAATATAAACATTTGTAGTATAATAGTAGTAACTTAAGATTGAGGAACTATGACTCTTCAGATGGCTTTAGCACTAATAAAATGACCTATGTCGAAGTTTGTTTGTCAAATTAAAGCGAAAAAGCCTCTCGTAACATTGGTATGGGGAAATGATATTCACCAAAAAGGAATGTCAGCGGTCAACCCATCGAAAGTATAGGTTTGTCGACCATTATCTTTTAGTTGTCAGTTGCCTTCAAGTAATGATTCCTTGCAAACTCTCAAACTTCTGCACGTTAAAACGTAGAATCTTGGAATTAATTATCCATCCATTGCTTTCTTGATTAGTCTTATTCGATTTTGTTGATGTAATTTTGCTAATGGTCAGATTAAGTATAGCAATGGAAATCAATTATATTTGGTGACAGTGCCTGTATTATAATGTGCTTCTGAAATTAGTGGATCAAGCAAAGCACTCTTTCACTCGAGAGTTTGTTATATCTAGTCGGAAGATCAAGGTGTATTCACTAGGTTTTTTTAGTGAATATCAGTTTTCATGCACTAATTTTTAATCTAGGACACAATAAGAAAAGCCATTAAGGAATCACTCTAATCGCATTACCTGCATATACTGGACATCACTTAAGAATATGTAACTTTTTAAAGTTGCAAAGCCCTTGTGGTGATGAAAATGGGAAGATCTTCGCCGCTGAAGACAGTTACAGTAAGAGTCTCGTTATGTAAGTGACTTTTTGTACAGCCGATCTTGAGTTATATTTAGTCAATAACACTGCAACAGATCTAATCGCAAATATATTCCTTTATTTGGTGACCCAGTCTATTACGCTTTTATATGCAAGACCACGAATGGGCTTTAATTTTTTTAATATTGGCCTACTTATTGGTAGTTGCCGCTCACTTTTAGTTGCATAAAACACCATTATTAGTATGGGGCTCTAAAGGATTCCATCCACTTTTTTAGCTCACCAAACAATATACGAATAAATCACAGTCCAAAAAAGCAAATTAAAATGCATCGAAAAAAGGGGTATACCAACTTATTTGGAAAACGTGGCTATGTAAAACGTGAGTTTAGATTGTGGTAAATTTGGCCAGAACGCTAACCTTTAAGCAAAAATCGCTGTTCAGTTATGCCTTCCGATAAATTATGGCAGTTGAACGTTGGTCTGCCGACTAAATAAGTTTTCTCTTAAAATCTAACTGCCGCTGGAAAAAATTGCTTCGGACACTAACAAGCATGATTTTTGTGACGCAGTTAGTAACGAAAATAAACCTTCGTCCAATAATGACAACATAAGCAGAAAAGCTGAGGTACAGCCACTAGAAAGACATCAGATGCGCTAAATGTTTAAAAACGTCATGTTAACATAATCTATAAGGCAAACAGATGTCATCTACAAACTATTTTAATCTTTTAAGCGTAAGACTGATCAGTGAATCGTTAATTTACATCCATATCTACCGTATATGTCTTTAGTTCACTCCATGGTGAGAAAAAAGGATCAGTATGTGATCAGTGCTTTTATGCCTGGATTGATAGCTCTTATTGGCCATTCTTGCAACAAATTTGTCTTTACATATATCGGCACAACTGCTCTTTGCTTTCCTTAGCTTATTAAACGCGTTTTTCAATGTTATCGCACTAGAATTTTTAATATGTTTAACATAATTCATAAGAGGCATCTCATCCACCAATCATTTTCATTGCATTGGACCCTGTTTTAAAACGTTTCTGTATGCCACTTATTGAGGGAGCAGTATATATTTTACTAGCGCAATCAGGCTTTAAATTTCCATTCCGGTTAAGCTATCATAATTCCTTAAGTCAGACATGTTTTCTTTTCCTTTGAGTCACCTTTTGTTTACTATTTCTTTCATATTTCCTATCACCTGAGACTGTTTTTCTCAATGATGGGTCATAAGATATTTCTATGTTGTTCCTGGTATGTATAAGATTCTTAAAATATCAGTTTGTTGGGACCAAGGCCAGTTAAAAAATTTCTATTCAAGAGAACTGGAAATTTAGGAACAGAGAGCACAAATAGATGGGAATTATCTGCTGATAACTAAAAGTTTAAGAGAAGATGGAGAAACCATTTTATCGATATCCAACTTCGTCGATCGTACTCAACTCTGCTTTTTGAATAGCACCACTTAGCTTACTAGTTACTTGTATTAAGATCTGCATTTCCGAAAGGTTCCCGTACTGTGATTTTAAGTAGCTAAAGGTATATTGATCTGGGAAAGTACAGTTACTTACGTACATATCTACGCCTAATACCCCTCGTTGAGGTGCATAGGCCGCTCTCTCACTAATATTCTCCATCCAACTATGTCATGGATAATCCATCCCAGTTCTTTCCACTTGCCATTTATCTTTTCATGTCTGCTTTCAGTTTTTGACGCAGTATGTTCTTTAATCTACCTCTTCTCCGTTTCCCTTCAGGATTCCAAGTTAGCGCTTGTCTCATGATGCAGTTTGACGATTTTCTCAATATATGTCCTATCCACTTCGAACGTCTTTTCCTAATTTTCTCTTAACTTGGAAGCTAGTTTGCTTTCTTTCACAATGGGGTGTTGCTGGTGGTATTTGCGAAAGTACATTGCTTAGACTTAACTGACAATATCAGAATACCCTGAAAAAATTATGGCATATGTTAGGACAAATAAGGTGGATTCTTAAAGACTGGTGGAATTAACCTTCTAAATAGTCATGGTCCTCCATTTTAAGTGGTATGTTTTAGATGTGTTTTCATTGAAGGACATAACTTATGGGCTACTCTTTGGTGGGTGATTGCAAAGTGTTCATCCAAAGAATTTCTTTAAGCATATCTTCACTTTTTTATAAACTGAGTAGCATTCCATCAAGACATATTTGGGAATTCGCACATTTGCGTGGTTTTTCGATCAGTTTTACAGCATATTGGTTGTTGTATGGTGAATAATCTCGTCAGGTTTTTTTCGATATACATTATTTCTTTTATTCCCTTTCAAATGTCCCTCAACGTAGTTTCTTCTTCTTTAAGTAAACATTGTAAGGCTTAGGACCTGTTGTTGAGAGTTATGTTGAATCCGTTGAGTTTGACAGTATGTCAAAGGAAGACTGTATTAAATCTCTGTAATGTTGTTTGTTCAGTATTTCTTTAACTTCATTTTCATCTTGGAAACCACCAGCTAGTGATCTAAAGCTATGTCAGCATCCCTCACGGTTCTCACGTCTTCCATTGACCTTCTCAATTTTTTTAATGATGCGAATATGATCGGTCTGGTTCTTCGTGGTGTGGCATGGAGAGACATATGTTACATTGTGTATGCGTTTGTGTGGGGATATTGTGCCACCTATAACCATTTTGTTGAATGCACATAAATTTGCACATCCGTCACCATTCTCGTCATCCCATGATATCTTCATACCCGGTGTTGTCCATTCCGATTTCGGCGTTTAGATCTGCCATCAGGATGGACAGGTCCTTTACTGGGCACTTCGCTATGATCGACCGCAGCCTTAAGTATAACTGGTCTTTATTGTCGTCATTGCTATCATTGGTGGGTGCACAACACTGGATAACATTCACTGTGATTCCCTTCTTTGTTCTGAAGGAGGATTTGATTATTCTGAGTCCATGAGATTTCAATCCTATGAGTTCTTAACGCGCTTCTTTGTATAGCATGAGAGCAACCTTCTGAGTGTGTAGAGCATTTTCCTCTTCGTGACCAGAGTACAGTAACATTTCTACCGAATCTATCCTTTTCTGTCCACCTTGTGTTTAATAGGTTTCACTTATTTCAAGCATCATCAATTCGTATCTTCTCATCTGCGTAACTATTTGGTTGGTCTACATGGTCTCCCAAATTCTGCAGACATTTCATGTATCTATACTGATTGTTACTCTGGTTGTTAGAAGATTCATCGGCCTTGTGACTTCCGAATAATTCCGGCTTTCACCGTGAGGCCTGATAATTCTTCTGAATAGAGATCCTTCAACTCGATGGGGGACAGATTCTGGATGGTTTAAATTGGTTTTTCTAGTTAGATTTTTTTAGCAAGCTGGTTTTCTACGGGATGAGATCGCTGACCTCATGCTCAACCCCCTTCCTTAACCTGGGTTGGGGACCGGCAGCAGCTCTAGAATAGCTACAGGTTGAGTCATGTGCTTTGCGGTGTACATATGGATTGGTAAATGCATTTGGAGGTACTGAGAAAAAAGAACCTGACAGTTTTTGTTTATTTGAGTGAGCATTGCCTTTCACATAACTTTGTCAGTCTTGCTGATAGATAAGCAACCTTCGACGCCACATTTATCCTGTGGTTAATTACTCCAGTGTTTTCATCTCCTTTGACGTACAAATATAAGACTCATGTTTTTTTTTATCTACAGTATCGTATTTAATCCGTGGATTCGTCTTGGGATACTTCTCTATAAATCTCATTGAATATGCATTTTCACGCAGGCAATTTGCAATCAACGCAAATTTTTCATCCAGACTTTCTTTCGAGCAAATTTCACGAGCGCAGTTATTTTGCTTTCAAAAGTAGTTTACTTCTCAGATAACTAATTATGATTGGTAATTTGACATAACAGAATGGATTTCACGAAACAAGGCTGTTTCATGGAGGGAGACTTGACACTGTTAAACTATGGACATAGTCTGTTTAACATCTAATGTCATCATTATTTGTTGTTGACTTTAGATCGAATCTATGCGTACGTAAAAATATATTTTACAATAGTGTTTGGATCACTTATTCAAGTGTAATTTATGGGAGAATAAATGGTAATGGAAAAAGACGTTTTATTTCATATGTTGTCTTTAAGTCTCGTCCTAAAATTATTGAAGATATATACGTTTTATGGTAGTACTGTTTTATTTTTTATCTAGCCATTATGATGGAAGAAGTTCATGAACTTGACAAAATGAACAATGGACGTGATCATATACCGGTTGTACAACTGAAGAAAACTATTGGTCTTGCAAGCAGTATAACGATCATAGTTGGTTCTATGATTGGGTCTGGAATATTCGTTAGTCCAACCGGAATTATGGAGAATGTTCGTAGTATTGGAGCAAGTCTAATTATATGGGTTGCTTGTGGACTTTTCAGCATGTTGGGAGCATACTGTTATGCTGAACTAGGAACCATGATTCATCGATCTGGAGGAGATTATATATACGTTTATGAGGCTTTTGGCCCATTTCTTGGTTTTCTTCGACTGTGGTCAGAAGTAGTTGTTGCTAGACCTGCATCTGTTGCAATAATGTCCATGACATTTGCAAAATATATTGCACAACCAATTTTCCCTGACTGTGATCAACCTGAAGTTGCAGTGCGTCTTTTGGCGGCAGTGTGTATTAGTAAGTTACCTTCTTAATTTATTTAGCTTTAAGCACAAAACTATATTTGTATAAATATATGTTTAGTTTCTGTAGCCTGTCAGTTGAGTAATAGAATATGGATGCTGAGAAGTTCATTATACATTCAATGAGTATAAAAATCTAGAGATTGAATTATAATTGAATGACAACATATGATCCATATTAGATGTTAAATATGTTCAAATTAAAACTACAATTTAGTTTAGTTTTTTTTTCTCATAGGACGTAACAAAATACATTTTCAGTGATAATAAATCATTCAATGTTTTTAATTGTTAAGCTTTCATTATAGTTGCTAATTAATTCATATTCAATAAGTGTTAATGATTCCTTTAATTGAATTTTACTGAACCAATAAAATTTGTTTGTTTATTGAAAATGATCAACTTTATTTCTTCGATTAGAAATTATTCATTATCTTCTTCATTGTTTATAATCAGTTAGGCTTAATTACTCACTATAATTTAAGGGTATTATTCAACATTATCAAATGATTGAGACTAGTTAAAGAGGTAATGAAAAGTAGTGAGTTTAAATTTTCAAATTACCATTAGTATACAAATATCTATTTATTAGATTGTATACAATTAATAGCAAATTCTAAGCTCTTTTTCGCTTCTATGAGACGTTCATTAAACTTCAGAAACTCATTGAGTATCTTAAATGCACCAGGATCCCCACGCGATTTTAGAATATTAAAGAGTCCCATTGTGATTGATATCCTAAAATATATTGGAAGTCTTAACGTCATCACAGAATCTATTCTAATGCAAAAATATCTATTTTTCATGGAAATGGAACAGGCAAGAAACAATAAGGGAGATCCAAATCATAATTTAATCAACTACAAGAAATATGAGCAAATTATTAATAAAAAAGTATAGACTAGATAATAAAATTCACTGATTACAAAAAGTAATTCTAGTTATATTGAAAATAGTAAACATACTGAAAATACTTGGATAATTACTTAATGGGTAGTTAAACATTTTATTGATTCATGATTAGAATAATAAGATTAAGTATCATATTAAATAAGTCAGTAAATCAACGAAGGTTGACTACTTTATGTTTTTAAACTAATAAAGTTACTTCACTTGTCAGAATTGTTAATAATAAAATTTTTTATACGAGTATTCGTCAAGATTAGAACGAATACATAATTACACCAGTTACTCCCAGTGGAGCATAGGCCGCCAACCAGCATTCTCCAACTCACACTGTCCTGAACCTTCCTTTCTAGTTATGATAAATTATTGTTCATTCTTTTCATGTCTGCCTCCATTTCTCGGCGTAATTTGTACCTTGGTCTTCTTCTTCTTCTCCTTTGGCCTTGAGGATTTCAAGTGAGGGCCCGTCTTGTGACGCAGTTAGGTGCCTTCCTGTATGTGTGTCCTACCCACTTCCAGCGCTTTTTGCTGATTATTAATGGTTGCTTTGGTTGTCTGAAGGGGCATCAGCCTCGTGACTTCCGAAGGAACTCAGCTTTCACCATGAGGCATCATAACTCTTTTGATTGAAGACCTTCTAACTCCCAGGGCAGAGTTTAAATGGTTTGAATTGTTTTTTCTGGTTAGCGTTTTTTTAGAGAGTTAGTTCTTAACGGGATGGGGTCCCTAACTCCATGCCCAACCCTCTTTCATCCAGGTTTGGAACCGGCAGTAGCTCAAGAGGGGCGGCCTCCAGGTGGAATGGTTTGACGAAAATTGAGTGCCGAGTATAGTGAAGTGATTGTATGTGAAAATTATATTTGAAATAATCTCAGAGATTGACAGTTAAAAATAATTCCAACGTTTCGTTCAACTAACTTGTCTGGACTTCTTCAGCGTAATAACCAAAGTCATGGAAGAAATATATAGTGTTTTAACAATCAAATCAGATCAAATCTATACTGTGTTAATCCAATCATATTCAGATGTTGACTTGAGCAAGTAGGACAACATGAGTCAGTTAAATGCGAATCATGTGAAAAGTTCACAATGTGGAAATAAATGGCTAAAACGAATTATCTGTGTATGTATGTATGTTTGTGTAAGATTGAGTTATTAACGAATGATATTAGGTGTTAATATGTTTTTATATGAAGGAAAAATAAAAGTGCAAGTTGAAGGTTGGATCATTGAAGTGCAAGTAAAAATGAAAATCATCTAAATGCCAAAAATAACTCACATTAATTCCAGTCAAAATAGCGATGCATGTGAAATAAATAGGTTGAATAAAGAAAGGGTCCAATTACTTGTTAACGAATACTTGCCTAATAGTTGCTAGCTGAATACCATCCTTTCTGTTTAGGCTGTTCTTATTCGCCCATATGTACAGTGCTTCTGCTGTCAATCTTTCTTTATGAGTGGTAAAACATTTCTGAACCATTTTGGTTCCTTAAAAATTTATCTTGCGTCCTAGTTCCAATTCATGTAACGCTATCGCAAACTTATTCACAGGTTTTTATTGGGTCAACCGAGGATTTGGGAACATTTTCAAACACTGTTTGTGTTCCTTCAGTCTTACATTCAATTGTCTGGATGCTTCTCCTACATAAGCTGCATTACAATCATGACAGTTGATCTCATAGACAATGATTTTTTGTTCTTCCTTTCGGAACCTATCCTTAACTTTCACTAATGCCAATCTTATAGTGTCACGCTCCCGAAAATACACTCTTACATCGTGCTTGTTTGGAATCCGCTTGATTTATTCTGATGTTACACTATGGTGTGGGTTGACCACGGTGGACTTCTGATCTTTCAGTATACATTCTAGTTTAATTTTTTTTCCATTTCTAATAATCTTCTTTAAAAACTCTTTTGGGTAGTTGTTATCCTCAAGTATGGACAAAATTCTATTCAATTCAACTTGTTGGTCTTCCTTATCTATAACAAGCTTAATACATTTGTTAATTAAATTTCTTTACAACAGTGACTTTGTACAGAGCACATGAGATGAATCATAATCTAAGTATCTCTCAAAATGTGTTGATTTCTTGAATACATTTTTTTTCAATTTATTATTATTATTATGTCTTCGTTCAACCAAACAATGGAGAAACGCTAGTTTGTGGTCAATGGATTCTGTTTCCTTCGTTAGCTTAATGCTCTCCGAAATGTTGTTTATATTCTCAAACAAATCTTCTAAACCATTCAATTTAATGATAATAAAAATGTCGTCTACTTACCGTTACCGGACCCTCGATGGACATACACTTCACGCGATTGCACTGGTTTCTAGAGAATGCATGAATAAATTCGCTGCAATAGGAGAAACTGGTGAACCCATTGCTATACCTTCTTTTTGTCGGTAAAGGTTTCCTCGATATATGAATAAGGTGGATCTTAAAAATAATTCCGAGCATTTATATATATATATATATATATATATATATATATATATATATATTTCTTTGATGATTTTGATTTTGATTGTTACCCTGAAGAAGTTCGGACAAGTTAGCTGGACGAAACGTTGGAATTATTCTTAAATTTCAATTGCTGAAATTATTTCAAATATAATTTTCACAAATAATAACAAGAATATTTTTATTTCATTTATTTTATTTGTACAGTTTCAAGTATTTTTTTCTTTTGTTTTACAACTAAAATATTTAATACAGTAGGCAAAGATGCATAGTGGCTGGCAATGGAATCCAGGACACGCTTTTCGTCTTATTTGGGACTCGTCAACTGGGTGTACTTGCATCTCAGAGTTGATGTTCACTCTAAGACTCGAACTCAGTACTGCTCGCTTCAAACGCCATTGCGTTTTCTGTTTAACTGTTGAGTCCTAATAGCCACTTGTTTGTACAATGGAGTGAAGTTTAAATTCAACTGATGTTGTTTTACTTGTATCTTCCCATTGTTATTTAAGACCACTATTGATCAGTCTCATGTTGGCGTATGTGCATCCTGTGCGGATTGCCTCAATATAGCCTCAAATCACAAGCTTTTTAAGCAAAGATGGATAGTGACTAACCAAAAAAACATGTTTGTTTATTTTTTATTGTTTAAATTAATCATGTACATCGAATTTAATTGTTACAGTAATATTATACATGGATCATGTATATTCCATTAACTGAATTATTATCTTTCTATATATTTTTATTTTAGTTTTATTAAGTTTTATCAATGCCTTCTCTGTACGAATGTCTACATTTGTTCAAGATATATTTACTTATGCAAAAGTAGCCGCTTTAATTATGATCATTATTACTGGATTTGTGCAAATTGGTTTTGGTAAGTTTTTTTTGATCTTTTCTTTAAAAATCATTAAATGTGTTATCTCATACATATAATTCCCTTTATCATCATGGTTCTTGCTCTTTTCAAAAGTGTTGTCATCGATATAACATTAGTGTATAAGATTGTTTTAACTATTTATGAAACTCATATCAGAAGGATTTTGTGGATATTATAGTAATTTGAATGGTTGAGATCATAAGTCAATTGAATCTAGACCACTATGGAAAACCTGAAAGCACTGGACTGCTGTTTCGTCCTATTGTGAGACTCCTCAGCAGTGCACATCCACGATCCTGCCTAGGGAAACTGATAGTTCCTGGGACAATGGATGAACACTTCTGAGGAGTCTCATACTAGGACGAAACGGTAGTTCAGTGCTTCCAGGTTTTCTACGGTGGTCTAGCTTCAACTGACTCATGATCTCAAGCACTGAAATATTGAATAAAAACACATGAATAATATTCTATGGGACTAAATGTGAAGTCAATGAGAATCATGTTGTCCATAGATTCAAGCTTTTAAATCTAGGACTAGTTATCGATAGGAAGTAATAATGTTTGCTTTGTTTTTTTTTTAACATTTTGTGGTTAACCTTTGCTGATAGATACCAGTTTCTTGTTTATTACTTCCATCCATCCAATATGTTTTTTTTCTTTAAAAATTCATTTGATCAATCTTAATCAATTCTTCTGTTTTTATCGCCATCGTTACTAAATCTAAGATTTACTCGAATATCTAGTAAATTATTTTATAATCTGGAAGAAACGTTAATTAAAATCGATTAGATAATGTGCACATATTTTCCTACTTGATTTCTTTTCCAGAGTATATAAAAAAAAGATCTTTCGATTAAAGTGAGTTATGTTGTTTATTTCTATGTAAAGAAATAAATCCAATTCAGTTATTACTAAAGTGAATCCGTTATTAGTATCTTGTCGAGATAGACAGGAATTGAATTGAATTCGAAATAATTTGGATTATCCCATGGTTAATGTTTTGACTGAAGTTTGATCAGTCTTGATTAGCATATGTGCATTTTCTGAACATGACCTTGAAATGGCCATTATGACACAAGTTAATGCAGAATAGTTGGAATGTGGTTAGTAAGGAAACCAAGAATATACATTTCATTCTATTATACAAGCATCAGCTGTATGTACTACATCCGAATTGATGTTCACTTTTGGACTCGAACCTAGTATCGTTCGCCCCAAACGTCACTTCATTATCCACCTAGTTATTGAGTCCAGATAACCATTCACTTATGAAGTGGGTGGATAACACGATGAAACGCGTATTCTAGATCCCATTAATAATCATACTCCGTCTAATCTAAATAGACAGAAATTACTTTTAAATAAACAATGAATTAGTCGTTCGAAAAAAGCAACAGTTGTCAGTTATGATCAATATAGAGCCTTGTTCAATTGATAAATGATCTTTTAGTAAATCATAGTTAAGAAGTTGACTCGAGGGAGTAAAAATCAGGGAAATTCACGTGTTTTAAATCGTAAAGTAAAATTTTATCAATACTGTTGAATATAAATTGATTTAAGGAATGCGCTCAATAAGATCGTCTAGTCAATCTTAACAGGAACTCAGGTCTGTAAACTGGTTATCAATCGTTGATAATTTTTTTAAAATTTTATCTATACCATTCTGAATACATCACTAATACAAACTGTATTCAATAGATAGTAGATTTGAACTTTCAACCAACATGACAGATATTACATTGAAATCAAAAAGTGTGTATTAGAATGTTCGCGTTTAAATGAACCCTATATATTTTGATGACTTTTGATTGGTTATGAATAATGGTTATTTGAAGAAGTTACATTTCTTCAATGAACAACTGAAATATATAAATAAAATGGTCTTGTCATTATCGAGGTATGATGTAACATCATTACTGAAAATTGCTTTCTTTAAACAATATATTACATATGGACATTACAGGAACATTCTGAGAACCAGGTATTTTTTTAAAAATAAATAGTTACCACTAAGTAGAATGTTCTTATTTTGTTTTACTACTTAATAAACTGATTGTAAAAGCGATTAATTAAAATGATTTTGATTGAGGTTAATTAATGTCAGATCACCATTGAAAACCTGGAAGTATTGGATGGCTGAGGAGTCCCACAATAGAACGAAAAGGCCGTCCAGTGCTTTCAGGTTTGCAATGGTGTTCTAACATTAATCGGTTCATGATCTCAATCAAACACTTAATAATCTATACAACCTTATACTGATAATTAAAATGTATGGATAGAGTAATCAGTTCCTTGAAATAATCAACTAACTTATCAATCAAAAACTTTAGAATATTGAATGATATTTCCTGGAATACATTTTTATTTGCATTTTAATGAAATGAATTGATATAGTTTAACTTATAATCACAGGTTTGATTTCTGATTGTGTAAATATTTACGTGAAGTTAACATTTTTGATTATTTCTGGTTTTGAAGCAAATACATTAATAAACCTCTAACACTGTATTTCAATAAAATTTTATTCACTGTTGGTATTGATAAGTAATAAAAAGTCTAATAACTTAAAATTTAAAGTGTAAATTCAAAATCATTTGCAACAGTAATTGATAGTTCAATGGTTGAGATCATGAATTGACGATCCCGCCTCGCGAGATTCGAACTCAGGACCTATCAGTCTTGCGTGCGAGCACTCAACCTCTAGACCACTGAGCCGACCAGCATCCAACACTGTTAATGTCTAACATCAACCAATCCACGAAATTGATATATATTACATAGTTAACTGAATTCTTCATAAATTATGAAAATATTATCATGGATTATAAAGAACAAATAGAACAGAATAACTGAATGTTAAAAGAGTAATAATAATTATCTTTTTAATTTTAGACGAAAAATATGTTTATTGAATTACATACACATACACACACACACGCATTTGTCATTTCCACAATGATAATACTTGTCTGTTCTCCATAGGTTTTGTTTAAGTGGTTCGCTTTGTATTTGAAATGGATTTCATTTTTGAGAAATGAAAATTATACACTACTTATTAAAGGATTGAATCGTTTCTTTTTCTTATCCTTTTAATTGTTTAAAATTTTATACCTTAATTTTCATGTTTCTCTATTAAAGAATGATAAATAAGTAGTTGAACATATACTGATTTCAATCATATTATTCTTTGATTTGTTTTAAGACTAATTTCTTGTATCATAGATTTATAATCGTTCAATAACTCAATGAATAATTTATAACAACTACAGTAAAGGATCGAATAATGTTTGAAATTTCCGGTATGATTGTTATCTGCCAGTTAATGCCAAAAACTCTTCCGAAACACTTACGCTTAAGTTTGAAACTTAGTTTTCGTTCATTGGACTTGTTTTGTTTTTGATTTTAAAGAGTTTCGTCTTCATCATATTCATCTGAATATTGATAATAACTACAAAACAAACTAAAAATAAATCATGTATACATTAGAAACGTGTAGTTTAAAAGATTATACCAGGAGATTGATAAGTTACTCTTTTATTGATTTTTTTAGAGTAATAAGATTTTGTATTGATGGTGAACAATGGAAACTGGAAAATTTATTCTTTAATTTGTTTCATTTGAAACTTTTAAATGATCATTCATCTTCATAATCTTCAAGATGAACAGTGATATTTTAGATAATATTTCTATGAGAATAACAAAAGAAATCAAAATTCTGAAGTGTTTCAGTCACTTTACTTATTCGGGTAGTTTATCAGTTCAAATAGTATATTGGGAATCAGTGATAAACCAAAATATTTAAGCTAAGATAGTTGATGACTAGTAGTGGAATACAAGATGCATGTTTAGTCTCATTTGAGACTCGTTAGCTGGATGCATTTGTATCCTAGGGTTGGTATTTACTCCATCTCTGATTATAATGTTTGTAGTCTAATGGGAATATCAAGGCGATTCGTACAGGATGAACATACACCAGAAAGAGACTGATCACTTGCAGTCATAACACATCAGTGGGAAGATTCAAACAACCAATTCAAATAAAATATTTAGAATAATCTACAATAATTTATAACATTTAAATAAAAAGATATTATTTTACAAGCTTTTACTAGAATAAATCTTTTTGAAACTAACTTCTGGGAGTCTTAAGTATTTGGTTAGTGTACGGTTTTATAATCATGAAGTCTAGTCACCGCCTTTTTCGTAGAAGGGGTGTTGTTTACGAAATTGAGATGACGAGAAGCGGATGTCCGGCGATTTAACTGAGTTGGTGGATATGGAGGATCCACCTAGAGGAATTGAAAAACCCTGATTCCAAACCAATAGTGTACATAAATTCCAATATGCTGAAGTAACAAATAGCATATGAACCAATTATTGATCACCGGCTACTATGGAACAGCATCTGCGGACGTTGCTCCACTGCTTTGCGGATTAGGTCTATAGGTCAAAGGCTAAGGGTGTGACTCCCTTAGAAAATCACCTGTTTCGGTTTGGGCAACCGGACAATATCCCAGCTCTCCTTGTATCAATCTTTATATGCTTAAATATTATTATTATTATTAATAGTAATCACAAACTGAAACCAATAATTGAATTTTTCAATAGAATTAATAGTTTTCCAATATTTCTTTAATAATTGCCAAAAACTGTTTAAGTAACAGCAGTTATAATTGAATTAGAATCAATTTATAGTAACCTTGACTTATTTATATTATTATTATTATGATTATTGATATATCTTCCTTCCCTAAATAATCATTGTTTATTTTCTTATATATTTTAATGTTTATTATTCGGGTATCATGAATATTGATTTATAAAATTGAAAATATAATTAGAAAGGTAGAAACTATTGTTAGTCGTGGTTACTATTATTGATGAGTCATATGTAAATTTTTATTACATTTAGATGTTGGCAAGCTGAAATGTTTGTTTTTTTGCTTGGGGTGATGGTGGTGTTGTTGTTGTAGGAATGTAGACATAATGAACTTTCAC